TTGAGCCACCCAGGCTCCCAGACACAAGCATTTTTAAATTTTTCCTCTATGTTACCACATAGTTGATCAGCAACACTAAATAATCCTAATTCATATTATAAATTTTTGAGAGGTATTACAGCATAGTGCTGAAGAACATAGATAGATTCTGGGGCATTGGTTCAAATCTGTAAAACAGAGATATTAATTGTCTTTACGTCATAGAATTTTTGTGAAAATTAAATGAATTATTTTAGAACTTCAGCTGAAAATAAACATTATATGAAAACTAGTTATTAATTATTATTATTAATTAAATGCAAAATTTAAGCTCTACAAGGTTGAATATCAATTTTTAAACAGCATCACCTACTTTAAAAAAGGGATTCATTTGGGGCATCTGTCTGTCTCAGAGTGTAGAGCATATGACTCTTGATCTCAGGGTTGTGAGTTCAAGCCCCATGTTGGGCATAGAGATTACTTAAAAAAAAAAAAAGGACCAATTTTAGTAGAAACTGGTGGTATGCTTTAGCCCCACTGTGCTTTCCTTGGTATTATTCTACTGAAATATAAAGGTGAAAATGAAGGCAACTATCAAAAGAATCCAATTGGGCCCATCACTTTATTACACTTAACTCTGGATATGAGATTTGGCAAGGAAAATATGTTTAGCCAAAACATTAGAAATTCTTCCATTACAGGGGCACCTGAGTGGCTCAGTCAGTCGAGCTTCCAACTTCGGCTCAGGTCATGATCTCACAGTTCGTGGGTTCGAGCCCCGCATCAGGTTCTGTGCTGACAGCTCAGAGCCTGGAGCCTGCTTCAGATTCTGTGTCTCCATCTCTCTCTGCCCCTCCCCCCCCCACACACACACACACTTTGGCTCATTCTGTTTCTCAAAAATAAATAAATGTAAAAAAATTTTTTTGAAGAAATTCTTCTATTACATAGACAAGCACCCTATGCTATTCATAAAAATTCCAGGCCCTAGGATATTCACTGGAGCTATTCATCAAATGATTCAAACAGCTGATAAAGAGTTGACCGAAACAGAAATGACTGAATTCCTCTCTGAGGAGCCAGAGTGAGTCTCTGGCAAGAACAAGAAGCTATTATGTCATGTCCAATTTACTTGGTCTAGTGATTCAAAGAGCACTGCTGCATCCATTATCATCATTTCCCTTTCTAAGGTTCTTATATTCATTAGGAAATGTCCTTAGCTACCCTAAAGATTTCATGTTCATTGTCTATGTTAGATTGAATAAACTGGATATGGCCTAGCAGAGTGATAAAACAGTATTAGCAAACAGATGCTGGACATTAGTGCCCTAAAGTAGCTTTCAGAGACACTCTCACTGCCCCTGGCCTCCTCCCCACCTGAGGCTCCCAGCAGCGGGCTCTGCCTCCCTCCCCTCCGCATGTGCACTCAGGCCTGGATAGTTTTTATAAGCAAGAGGATTAATAGGCCCAGGAGCAGATGCTCTTTTACAGTAAGTACGATTGCAATCTCCAATTGTGCTTTACATGCCGTTGATAGCAATCACTCCCCAAAGAGACATTTCTTAAATACCTCTCTATTTTAAGATCCACATTTTGGTAATTTTATTAAGTTAGAAGTTAAACACTTGCTGGCTAAAGTGCATCACTGACTGTGAACAAAACTGTGCTTAGAGATTCTTTTAAAGTACATCTTCTCTGCACTGTGCAATGCTGACTTTGCCCGACTAAATCCAAATTGTGGCCAAAGGAGCTGGAGCCATCTGTAAAAGAGTCAGAGAACTCCAGTGCCACATTTGAGGTCCTCAAAACAGTGTTTGCGGAACACATCACTAAAGTTTTCATGATGAAAATGCTAGATTTTCTCTGCCCCTTCTAACAGAGAATATAATCTAAGTGTTTTGTCTATGTACCTATGAAGCGCAGAAAGCATTAAATCTCGAATCGCATTACATTGGAGCTGTTTTAGTTCTGACTTAGTTCTAAGGTAATATATGTGCCCATGATGAGTGATGAGAAGACATTAATGAAATTAATTGTGCTTAGTGCATCTCTTGTTAACATTGACATAACCATTTACTGATAGTCATTTTGGGAAAAGCAAACCAAGGAGGAAAATCAAGAAAATGAAAAGAAAAATTAAATTATACAAAGGATCTTGATGTTATTCATTCTTTCATGTGTTTCGACTTTACTACAAAACATCTCTGTATCTCTTTTTCTTTCCCTAAGCAATTTATCACCCTAGTGACCTCTGTTATGATCTATGTTTCCTTAGAATGAAATGTTCAATATATTCAGCATCTTCTTTTTGTAAAACCTTTGATCATTTCTAAATGTCAATAACTTTAAGTGTTGGTGTATATTATATGCATATGTGTAAATATTGTAAGCATGTATATGTATGTATTTATATGTATTCACACATATATAGATGCACATATATACTTACATTATAAATATAGTTGATAAGATATATCTATATTTTTATCTACAGCTATATCTATATATTTCTATATACAGAGATATGCAATACTTAATCCTTTCCAGATCTTCAATTCCCTGTGCAATCTGATAAAATCGCCTAAGAAAACCGCACTTGCTCACATATACAAAAACTGATGTTACCAGCAAGGCATGCATTTATATCCAAGTCCATGGGTTGCAAATTGGGAACCTTGCTTAACCCTTAATTTGATCCACAGAAGTGTTCAGTTTAGAAAAAGTATTAAAGAGAGGCGCCTGGGTGGCTTAGTCGGTTAAGTATCTGACTTCAGCTTGGGTGATGATCTCACAGCTTGTGAGTTGAAGCCCTGCATCAGGCTGTCTGCAGTCAGTGAGGAGCCCACTTTGGATCCTCTGTCTCCTCTCTCTGCCCCTCCCTTACTTGTTCTCTCTCTCTCTCTTTCTCAAAAATAAGCATTAAAAAAAAATAAAGAAGTACTATAATATATCCCTATTTCAAATATTGTAATAAATAAAAAAGAACTATTAACCTTCCTCTGATTTTATTTTCAAGTCTGGCTGAAGAACTGTGAGGAAATGCCGTAAGACGGTGGTCATCAGGCCAGCCTTTTGATTGTTTGGTTTGTTCATTTTGCTTGTTTTTTTCTTTGCAACATTCACATGCAACACAATAAAAGGCATCACGTGTCTCTTTTCCTTCAGTCTTTCTCAAGAGGACAGGGAGAAAGGACATGTGGCCCCGGAGAATGGACGGTGGTATTATCAGAGTATCTGGTAGGAGTGGAGATTGGGATGAGATGTAGATCACTGAATTATAAATTACCCACTTGAACAAGAAAGCATTTTATGGGTACTGATCAAGCTATATAGCATTTCTGTGTTTTCTTTCTAATGTCTAGAAAGGCATTAGAAGAGGGGTTTTCCTTGACTTTGAGGTTATTAATGATTAAATGTTGGAAAAGTCTTAATAATTAAGGTCCAGCCCCAGGAATAAAGGCAGAGAGAGCTCTCCGTTTGTGGCTACACACACCTGTCAACCCCACCCCTTTTTTTATTGTAGTCATCATGGCCTTTTGTGACTGGTGTAATTTCAAAAAAGGAAGCAGTCACCATGACTGAAAGAATGTTAAAATATTTTATTGGCTATCGGACATCCTCTGTGTCCTAGGAGTCAGGCAATATAATTTAACTCAGAGAGCACAGCTTTCATAAAATCTTATGAGCCAAACTAGTACACTGCGTTCTCCAGGATGCTTCCTGTTGGTAGCCCTTCCAGTCTTTATGATAAAACAAAAGGAGTGGGAGTGACTGGTGTCTCATTTAGGACACTATTGTGTCGTTCAGTGGTCTAAGATTTATAACACCATCAATATATTCTGTGCCATGCTCAGAACATACCAAATTCCCTTTTAAGTAAAGTTGGTTCCATTCAGAATATGAGGATTTCAAGAATAGTAGTGTCAATAAAAAAAGAAAAGTAAAGCCTTTACACAAATTTCTGGCCTTTTACCATTATTACCATTGAGAGGAATTAAGTCTAACTACAGACAAAAAAATGGAGAAGCAATTCAGCAAGTTCAAAAGTGCACTGACCATTTAATTACTCTTAAATTATATTTTACACAAGGATTAACATTAAGCCTCTGTAGCATCAAATCTCTACTTTGTTAACTTTCTAAATATATCTTACAAATTGTAACAGAGCCTCAGGATAATATGTAAGCCAGTAAGTAGTCGAGACAACGATTTTAAAATATCTCTAACACTTTCAGCTTTTCTTGTTATTTTTCCTTAAGCTTTATGTCTATTTCTCTTTATTCAGTGAAGAAATGGTCATTGAATACCTACTATATCCCAAGCATTGTGCACAGTATCAAAGACACGGCAATAAATAGGATAAATATAGGTTTCCTGCCCTGAGAGAGCTTGCAGTATTTTGGAGACACAGAGAAGCAATGAGGTAATTCCAACGTGACATGTGCTTTGTTTGACAGGGAGGAGCAGTTTGCTAAAGGATGACATTTAAAAAAAAAAAAAAAAGCATCTAAACCAGATTGCAGGAATTATGGAAGGATTTCTAGATGAATCTTGAGTTGTGAGCCATTAGCCAAATGCAGGAAAGTGAATGGTTTGAAGAAAGAGAGAAAGCACAATAATGAGAGACAAAGCAATAGCTTCATCTTAAAATATGAGAGAAATCTGTCTAGGTCTAAAGGTTAATGGGAAATATGCAGCATGGAGGAAGAATATGAAGTTAGAGGAGATAAGTAAGTATAACTAACAGAGCAAGGACCTCATGAAGGCAGAGTGCAGCTGAGGAACAAGTTTGAGGAAGGACTTATTACACTGTAATGGAAGGAAAGAATAAACAAAAATATGAACAATTTTAAAGGTGCAGTGGCAAGAAGCTCAGAGAATTCCAGCAAAGTGGTTTCAATTTCTTAATATGAACAAATATAGTAATCAATATTTATTGATTATATTTTATATCTCAACCAGGGTGGTTAGAGGTCATCTAATACTCAGAATTTCCTGTGACATTGATAATATCCTCCCAGTTTGCAGGTACAAAAACAATGCCTCAGAGAAGACAGTTTGTCCGGCATCACATAACCAGCAAGTGTCAGAGTCAAAGACATGAATCCAGAATCTCCATATTATGTGTTTCTTTGCAGTCCCTCCAGTAAAGTAGAAGAAGCAATTCTCCTCTGTGTGAGTAAGGACGGGGAGGGGGGGAGGGGGGAGGTGGAGACAAAAGTTTGAAATGACTAAAAAAGGATCACAATTGCCACGATAATTTCTCCTGTTCTGACTAGAGGGCTGCTGGAGAGTGCTAAAATAAGGAGAAATAAATTGTGTTACCAGTCCTTTAGAAATCTCAGTTTGCTCAACAGCTCAATCAAGTGTGGACATGGAAAAAGTAGGCAGTTGAACTGATCTCGGATAGAAATTTTTCCAGGTAGATGGTGTTTCAGTCAGCTCAGGCTGCCATAACAAAATGTCATAGCCTGGTTTGACCCAACAGAAATTTATTTTTTCACTGTTCTATAGGTTGGAAATCTGAGATTAGGGTGCCGGCATGAGAAGATTTTGGTGCAAGCTCTCTTTCTGGATGGCTGACAGCTGGCCACTCTCTCTCTGTGTCTTCACATTGTGGAGAGAGAGCAAGTTCTCTGGTATCTCTTCATAAGGATAGTAATCCCATCATGGGGCCCCACCCCTACGACTCCATCTAAACCTCATTATCTTCCAAATGCCCCACCTCCAAATACCATCACATTGGGAGTTAAGGCTTCAAAATATGGATTTTAGGGGGATCAGGGGGGAGGGGGACACAATACAGTCCATAGCAGATGGAAAAAAATGGAAGATAATTAAATGTGTGATTTAAAAAATGTTCAAGACCTGAACCGGAAAAATCTAAAATGAAGGGTAAAGGCAGTGAATACCAGTTGGGCTTACTGTGGAGAAATAGTGGTAGAACCCAGGTGACAGAACATATGTAATTGAAACAATTCAGCTCAAATAAGACAGAAGGAAGACGGGATGATTGAATTGACTTTTTAATTCTTAATATCTTCCATATTGATTTTTAGTTAATATATAAAAATAAATAAGGGTCTGTAGGCTTATTTTCTACAAGCAGAAGAGAACAAGAGAGATTTGAGTGTTCTGCAAACACACCTGAGGAGAAACCGGAGGGTCGGAAGGAAGCTGGCAGCTTCAAAGAATGAATAGCCAATGGACTTTCCAGGAAAGAAGAAAAGGTGAACAAATTTGCTAAGAGATCTTCCTGGGCACCCCAGTAAAATCCTTCCCTGTGGCTAGTAAGGGAGAAACACAGGTGACTATTTAGGAAAAAAATCATGGAGTGCCTGAGTGGCTCAGTCAGTTAAGTGTTGGACTCTTGGTTTTGGCTCAAGTCATGGTCTCATGGCTCCACATCAGGCTCTGTGCTGACAGTGCAAAGGCTGCTTGGGATTCTTTCTCTGCCCCTCCTCTGTGTTCTTTCTCTCTGTCTCTGTCTCTGTCTCTCTTTCTCTGTCTCCCTTTCTCTCAAAACAGATAAATAAAATTTTTTTAAAAAATCCAATTCCTACTATATGTAAGATATACTCACTGCACAAAAATAATCTATCTCACCAGATAATGATGTCTAACTCTTTCAATAAATAATTGAAACACTTTTTTTAAAGGAATAAGAATTCAGAAATCAATGAAGAAAATTTGATAAACATTAAGATATCATTATAAATAGTATATTAAATGACAACTTTTATTTTTGTCTGATCCCACTATCTTTCACCAAATGGAGCTCAGAGAGTGTGGTCTTCTGTCTGTTGCTCTATGAATTATATTCACCGTGGAAATGGATTTTCAGGAAAGGGATAAAATTAGGCATTCAATCACTTAATGGACATTTTTAACCATCAAAATACAATTTTGTCCAATAAGCTATTTTTTTGAGATTAAGAATACAAAACCATCAACTTTCAAGGATCTCAAAAATTGAACTGAGCACTAAAATGTGATTAAGTGCTGGTTATGTCAAACGTATCATTGAATGCTTTAGCCGTTTTCAATATGTGGTCTGCAGACCCTAAGGGTCCCCAAGACCCTTTCAGTGGGTCCAGTCGAGGTCACAGCCATTTCAATAACAAGACTAAGAGCTTATTTATCATTTTCACTGTGTTGACCTTTGTACTGAGTGTGCAGAACAGTGAGGGATCTAACAGCTGGCAATGTAGAATGAATCAAGGCAGTGGTACCAAGCTGTATAATGGTCATTTTGTTCAATGCCAATACATCCACTTTCACTTAAAAATATCCTCACAGAAGCACAAAAAATTATTATTATTAAATCTAAACTTCTGAGTACATAATACCCTGTGAGACCAAATGGGAAGTACATATAAAGCATTTCTGTTGTACAGCAAAGTATGATGGTTGTCATGAGGAAAAACAGTTGTGCCACTGTTTGAGTTCTGAGCTGAACTATACCATGTTCAGGAAACATCACTTCTTCTGAAAAGAGTAACTGGAAATCTAACATCAATACTTAAACTTGGATATATGGCTGACATTTTCTCAAAAATGGTCAAAGTGAGCCTGTCACATAAAACAACTGACGGTTTTCATTGCCAATAACACAGTTTAAGCTTCAAGCGAAAGCTTCAATTAGCTTGCCAGCTTTCCAATATACAGACTTTTCTGATGAATTTGGGAGTAGTATCAGTGAAATTTCATGACATATTATAATGAAATTCATCAACATTTGGAAGATCTGCACAATTCATAATATTTTCCAAATGCCCCATGCATCATTACAGAATCATGCATGGGTAAAAACTGCATTTAAGTTACATAATAGACCAATGGGTACACCAATGGATTTCAATGTAATGAAAAGTTTATTGATATAGTTTCAGATTCCACATTACAGTTAACCTTGAAGTAATTACTCCTTACTGAGTTTAGGTATAGTATCAAAGAAAACTATTCAAAATTATTTATAAAGTCTCCTCCCTTTTCAGCTACCTATATATGTGCAAACCTGGATTTTCTTCATTTTCTTCAACCAGAGCAACACATCACAAATGATAGAATGCAGAAATGGATATGACAACCCAACTGTCCTCTATTAGGCCAGTATTAGAGAGATTTGCAAAATGTAAAACACTGCCACTCTTTTCACTAAATTTTTATCTGGGAAATACAGTTATTTCATTAAAATACATTATTTATGTTAATATGCAATGGGATTTTTTTAAGGAGGTTATTTTTATTGTTGTTTTAAAATTTAAATATACATAGTAGGGTCTATATGGATGCTTAATAGCCAAAGGAGTGACTGTATTGCATATTATTTTTTTGAGAACAACCAATGTGCACCTTTATTTTTTTTCTTGCTTTCCTCATATCAAAGTGACTGGAGGTCTAGGAAAATGCATTTCCAAGAATCCCCTGAAATCAGATTTCTGGGTTAGAGTTTACTAAGCAGAGGTCACAAAGTTTGAAAGAAGTAGAAATCATTATTTTTTGTCCAGTAAGGAGACTTTATGGGCTCCAATGGAAGTGATTCTTTGTAGCTTCCTCAGACCCTTGGTAAGTGATTTATCTGGTGCAGTGGTGAGCTGAGATCATTAGTGGGAGATCCCTGTGATTCCTGGACCTTCCTAATCCTTTCATGGTTTATGATAAAACTGAGTAATAGTGAGTGTTTTCCATAATCACTGCTCCTCCAACCCCTCCTACATTTTTTTTTTTTCCCAGAGAGAGAGAGACTGAGACAGCAGTCTGAGGGGCAGAGAGGGAGAAAGAAAGAATCCTAAACAGGCTCCACTCTGTCACCACACAGTCCAAAGCAGGGCCTGATCTTACAACCATGAGATCATGACCTAAGCCAAAATCAATAGCTAGATGCTCAAACGCCTGAGCCACCCAGGTGCCCCACTATGTATTTTTAAGTCACTAGTTCACTGTTTTAAATTTATTCCTTTCTGAAACACCATCATCATTTGTTTTTCTGACTGAACCTTGACTCATACCAGGAAATTGCTTAACTCAATCCTGAAAATGTGAGATTTGGCAACGCTTCTTGTTTTAGCTTAAACTTTTTCAATGAAAATTTGATCAACTGTTATCACACTGAGAAAAATACTTAAACCGGTTTTATAGCAAAAGAAATGAGAGAACACATTGATTTTTTGAGGAAGAACATAAAAATCCATGATACTCTATAGCATAATTATGTGGAGCTAATACTTCCTTTTTTACCAAAGTATAGTTGGCACACAATGTTAAATCAGTTTCATGTGTACAACATAGTGATTCAAAAAGTCTATATAATACGCTATGTTCATAAATGTTGCTACCATCTGTCACCACACAACACAACTACAATACTATTAACTAGATTCCCTACATTGAGCTTTTTGTCCCTGTGACATATTCATTCCATAACTGGAAGTTTATCTCTCCCACTCCCCTGCACCCATTTTACTCATCTCCCCACTCCCCTCTCTTCTGGCAACCATCAGTTTGTTCTCTGTACTTATGGTTTGTTCCTGCTTTTTGTTTGTTTATTTGCTTTGTTTTTTTTAGATTTCACATTTAAGTGAAATCATGGTATTTGTCTTTCTCTGTCTGACTTACTTCATTTATTATAATATCTAGGTCCATCTATGCTATTGCAAATGGCAAGATCTCATTTTTTTTAATGACTGGGTAATATTCCAGTGTGTGTGTGTGTGTGTGTGTTTATCACATCTTCTTTCTCCATTCACCTATCAATGAACACTTGGGTTGTTTATATATATAGGCTGTTGTAAATAATGCTGCAATAAACATGTTTTATTGTTCTGTTTCTTTTCTGAGCCAGTCCACTTTATGGTTTGGTTCTCCACTGTGGACTGAGTCATCCAGCAATGGTTCCCAGATGACCCACTTTCCCCTTCCTGCTGGATTTCATCTTTCTGTAGCAGAAATACCTCCTTGCCTTCCAACCACACATTCTCATCTTGTCTCTCAAAATAAAAGAATATTCATTTTTACCTACAAAAACTGCTGAAAGTTTTGGTTTCCCAGCCTTCCTTGTCTCTAAGTACTGGTAAGTAAAGGTGTTATGTGGAACTTCCAGAAACCTTTAAGGAAAAAGGAAATATGCTCTTCTTCCTCCCTTTCTCCATACTGCCTCTGGAATGCAGTAATAA